CTTGGCATTGGCAGAACTACAAAGGCACCGACAATCATTATTCAGATCTAAAATACCAAGGATATACATGGTTATAAAAACAATAGAAATGTTTCATCTTCTCTCATTTCCCCATTCCTTTTTGAACTCCTTCCTACCTCCTTTCCCCCTTTCTTTTCCTCCTCTATTTTCCCTTCTTCCCCTTTCTTTTCCCCCTCCCTCATCCTTTCCCTTTCCCTCTCCTCCTGTATTCCTCTCTACTTACCTCTATCTCTTGCCCCTTCCAGCCTCCCTCCTTTTCCCCTTCTGTCTCCCCACTTCACCTTCCTTTCCCCCTTCTGTCTCCCCACTTCTTCTTCCTTTCCCTTCTGTCTCTTCTTCACCCTCCAGCTTTCCGCCTTTCCCCCTTCTGTCTCCTCCCTCTCCCTTTCCATTTTCCCGTCCCTCTCCTCTTCCAAATTTCCCTTTTCCCCTTCCTTCTCCCCTTCCCATTCAAAATCTCCCCTTCCCTCCCCCTTCTCCATCCTCCTTCCTTCCCCATCTCCCCTCTTCTTACCTTTGAGCGAGGGCCAGCTTGAGCCTGTCATTTTCATACTTGAGCTGCACCTGTGTGTCGACATTGGCTCCTGCACCCGCAGGTCCACCCTTGTCACTCCCGCCTCCGCCTCCACCGCCGCCGCCCCCCCCGGCGCCAGCCTGCTTGTGCTTGGGGCTCTCCCCTGGAGGCTGGAGTCCTGCTTAACGAGAGGAAGGGAAGGTTGGTTCGGTGTGTTCGCACTTCTGGGATGCATTCGCACGGGGCGTATGTCTTTAGCTTTGTACAAGTCAGCTGTGCTGGGTGACCAAGTGCTTCATAGAAAGATGCATCTGAACTACCTATTGGCAAAAATCTTTTTAAGCTACAAGTTACTGCTGCCCTCGTCTGCTCTAAGAACCCTCACCTATATTGTACCATTAGGACATTTCACAACATCAAGCCATGCGCTGAAATATCAAAAGAGTGTTTTAAATTCTTTGGCTCCATAGCTCTAAATTTTGCTCCTACTTTAACTTGCCAGTTTCTCATGTAAATAAGAAATAAAATCTTAAGGAAATAAACAAAATCTTCATCAACAGAAAGGTCTTTCAAATTACTTTTGACTAAATTGATAGAAAATGAATGAAAGCTTTTCTCTGAATTCTTTAATGGGTATAATGGTCTTCCAAACCATTTTTCAATGAATGGAAAAGCACCATTTTCAGTTAGTGAAAACTGGATATACAGAGAACTGTATCATCAGCCATGTAACTCCAGGCTGCTGGCAGTCAATAACCTCCTGCGCTGAATTGCATTTACATTTTCTTTCTAAAAAGGCATAATTACAGCTAAAATAATAATAAAAAAAGGAGATATATATAAAGTAAAAGAAAAGAAAAATTCCTATACTTAAAGAAAAAGAAGAAGAAGAAGAAAGTGAATGCTTCCAAACAACTATTTAACTGATTTAGCAAAAGTCATCTCCACTGATGCACATGTCAGAAACTATTTGTTGAAATCCTCAACCCCATTACCCACAAACCTGATTTACCAACTGCATATGGAAGACATTTACCTCCATGCCACGTGGGCCTGCCTAATAATAACTTATGGACTCAGTAGCTGTTTGGTTGTTAGGATTTACAGTTCTGCAAAAGTAGGCTTAGGGTCGCTTTTTAGCCTTGTTTCCTGAAAAATCGCAGTTGTTGCAGCCAAAATCATAGGGAGTGAGGAATTATATGTATCCTGTGCTTTTAATTGTGCAAAGCACCCAACACATGGTTAAATGAGAGACTTAGTGCAGCCACAGATCACCTGACTCATATTTTTTGCAAATGGATGAAGCTAATGTCGGAGAGACTTGGCCGAAGGGATACTCAAGCAGTGGCTGTTAACCCATTCCTGCCAGGCAATGTTCTATTGCATGGTGAAAACTTCGCTCACACTGGATGATGTCTTATCATGTCATGTGTGGTCAAACATGGTCTAGGTACTTGTAATTCCTCAATGAAACTGGTGATTACATGATTCCCACTGATGAGACAGCTAGAATATGGACAGTAGCTGGTACCTCATATGTGAGAGACTTGCGTTCTCTGCTTACACTCTAATTGGGAACCTGCAGGGACTCACAATATAGATATCACCCAGAAATTTGGGTATTTTTCACTTGGAGGAGGAACCTATTGTGGATGGGTTAAATGATTCAGTCCCTTAACTTTGTGCTACACAACAATTGGGGAACAGCAATATGTACCACATTCTGGTCTGCAGGCACATGTCTTATGTTCAAGGAAAGGCATGGTACAACCTGCCTGTTCTGCACCTGTGGTCCATTTTTCCTCCAAAATATAATTTTCCTTAGATCATCTTCTTTGATGTGAATAGTTTCATTGTGTCCCATCAGCTGACTCAAATTTGGAAAAATATGAAAAAGAGCATGAGGTCCCACTTGGCCCTCTAGCATAGGGATGAAAATGGAGACTGATATCCTGGCTGCACTCA